CTCTTGGCTGCCCCTAGTCGTGACTTACTGATCTAGGCTGCTCTTCTATGTGTTTGGCTCATCTATGCCGCGGATACGGTGTATGTAGTGCGTTCCTAGCAGGTGAGTGAGTTCTTCGCAGGCTGCCGGTTGAACTTGAGCCGGATTTAGTGACTGCTTCTTTCCGTCTGTCGTGCTGCCTATATGAGGTGGATGATGCTCATTGCGGGCCTAGAAGCGAATGAACACTTCGCCTAGAAGGTTACTCATGTTGATTATCGAAGTGTGACCCCAACCGTGAGTGTATGCTCGTCCGTGGGCTTGACTAAGAGTGCACGCAGCTCCGCGCGCTAAGACGGGAGTATATGCTATCTCAGGGGCCCAATTAGGAGTGTACACTGCCCAAACACTCGGTTCGTGGCTGGTCGAGTGGCTGCTTGCTGGAACACTGCTGGCTAGGTTCTTCGTCTGCCTTTGTCTTACTTCAGGACACCTCATCTGAGGCATGTTGCATCTCGATGCATTGCAAAAGCTGATTCACTATGGTCATTTGCTGTGCGATGATGCTTGTCAATTCTATGACTTGTCAAGACAAGTGTTGTTCTCCATTTGGGTTGGAAAAGCTTGGAATGAATGCATCTCCTTGAGCAGTGGAAGTGTGGTAGAGTCCGGGCGCGAGATTCGAATTGGTGGATGTCAAATCCGCATAGAAGTATGGTGAAAATGCCCCTGGCTCGATGGTAGGTCCAGATGGTTGAGATAATCTTAGGTGGACTTGGGCTGCTTAGGAAACCACGGGAGTAGGCTGGGCCATGAGAGTAGGCTACTCGGCGTGTGGTGCATGCGGGTGCGAGGCTTGGGCTCGGCTTGGATTTGGGCGGCACTGGGCCGGTTTGCCTTAGGCTTGGAATGACACGGCTTGGGCTGTGGCCTTGGTGTTGTAGGCTTTGGATGGCACAACAAGCTTGGATGACACGGCTTGGGCCATTGTGGTGGTGCCATGTACCTCGCCGTGGGTGGCTACCATGGTGGCCACTGCGGTGGTTGCCATGGAGGAGCCTTGTGGTGGTGGTGCTGCTCCACTTATTGTCACGTTTAGCCTTGTGGATCACCGTGGTCCCATCTCTTGAACATTGGAATTTTTGTTCGTTGAAGTTTTCAAATTTCTTGCTACTTTTCTTTTACGTTTTACCAAAGAATTTTTGCAAATAAAAAATTCTAAAAATAAGAACATATAAAATCTAGAGAAATAGAAAACCTTGGATAAGTCTTCTACGAATATGGGACTCAACTCCCAATGAAAGCACTAATTTGTGGATGCAAATTTCTTCCTCCTTGTTCATGGACAAAATTGTACCTACAAAACAAATAACACCTTAGGTCAAAGTCAAAAGTCTCACGCGCCCACGATGAATTTGGGGGGGGGGCTTTGGCCGAAGTTAGAATTTTGAGGGAAAAGTGTTTAGAGAATTTATAGAATTTAGCAAGAGAATTGAAATTGAGTTTTGGAGAGAATAAGAGAGCTTATATAAGGATGTGGCCGGCCACCTTGGCAGGAGATGGACCGGCCACTTGGATGGTTTTGTGGGTTAGGTTCTTGATTTGCGGTTAATTAGCTAATTAATGGAATAGTTATTTAATTAATTAGCTAATTATTATAATAAAAGAGGAAGGATTTGGGGGTTACCTTGTGGAGAAGATATGATGAGGATGGATGAAATAGGTTGTAAATAAATACCTATTTGGGCACTTTTGTCTTGATTGAGGGATGATTGTCCACTGCTCGCGCGTAGGAGTTCCGATGTGCCTCGAGAGTAATTTTGTCCTTTTCTACCCAAAAATCCACGTGTCGACTCTTGATTATTTTTGCTCCATAGATATCAAACTCATTATCCACAAAATTTGAATTTTTTGTATTTTTTTGGTCAAGACTTTAGACTACATCTATGGTGAGAAAGGGTTTTTGAGTCTGTTGACTCATTTGAATTGGCCCAAGGCCTATGGGTGGGATGTTGAAGTCTGCCAAGAGGAGAATTTAATTATGATTAATGCTTGTATTTCCTCATGTGCCCATAGGAAACTTAGTTGTCGCCTTCATTTACGATTTATGCATCTTCACCATTCGAACATCACAACTGAAATTGTTTATTCTCTTTACCATTATGTAAAGATAAAATGCTAAAAAAAATGACATTTTAGCCATTTATATACATCAAACAAATTGACTGTGTATCATAAAAATGCTACTTATTACCTAAATCCGTAAAACGTTGACTGGTTTGACACGAATGCATCAAAGAATATGACATTAATTCCCTCTTATTGGTGCAACCTCCGCCCCATAATCAAGGTTCATACTTGCCCTGCGAGAACGACTTGGATGACCAACATCACGGCATTTACCGGTTCTACCTCGAGGAGGAGATGTGCCGGACAGGGATCGCTTCATTTATGTCCCAATTGATGTGGTGAACGTTTATGTGGTGGGTTATGCTTATATGGAAAGTAATGAATCCTACATTCTTCAAGGTAATGCCGAAAATGGGGTCCGACGAGCATTTTATTCCCGTGCAGCATTAGGGAGTGCGCAGACCCAGCTGCCCTTGAGGTTTTATAAACAAAAAGGGTCAAAGTGTTAATTTTTTTTTTTTTTATACAAACATAATTAGTTTTCAATTTTATCATAAACAGGGTTGACACCAAACACATATTAATACCATCCATCCAGCTTGTATAGAGTTATCCTCCTCCCCGGAGCCATTTGCAAGCCACATACTTGCAAGGCTAAATTGAGTGACTGTGACATTGGAGTTCCATATGTTAATGCTCCCTCTTCCTGCACGAGGGTGTCCGAATTCGAGCACTGCAGACGTTCCTAGGTAAGGAAACGACGGCAATTACCTCATGAATCAGTGAATTCAAATACAATATTGAAAAGCTATTAGTTTATTTTGGATGGTTTTTCATGACAAGTTTACTTACTTGATGGCCCCGTGAATCAAACGTATTTGAGCTGCGCTTGTGAGTGCTTGTTGGATAGTTTAATCCCAAAGACTCTGCATTTTCAGCTAGTATTAGATCCTAATTCGTTGTTCTTCTTATGGGCACGGATTCTTGTGCGCACTGTACGTTTCTAGGAACATATTGTGAATACGCAGACATTTTCCAATCTTCATTTCCTTGCTCTCTTGGCACTGTTGTAGTTTTGTCTGCATATATTGAACTATTTGAACCGCGATAAAAGTTTAGAGTTTGTCATTCATGAACTCGTGGACGATTATATGAACCAGTAACTGGCGTGAAGTCCACACCAGTAAATGGTTGCTAATAATTCACTAGCGTGACATTGATGCAAGCAAAAAAAAGAGTCAATCGTAGACCTGAATTGTATGATTCTTGAGCATAGGATGATTGAAAGCACGTTGTCTGTAGATATCAATGCAATCTACAATATCACCATGTTCAGTCTGTTGGTGGAAAAAGAGAGAACAAAGATATGACTATAAAGCAGCAGAGTGTTGGTGGAAAAGAGAGAACAAAGATATGACTATAAAGCAGTAGCAGAGTGTTTGGTAAACCTTAGGGCTGGTTTTGTATTACTGTGCTTTAAAAAAAAACTGTTTTTCCTATGCTGTGAGAATAAGCAGTTGAATGTTTGGAAAACTTTTTTGTGAAAATGCTTTTGGAAAAAAAACAATATTATAGTGTTTGGTAAACTTTTATGTAAAACAGCTATGATTGTGTGAAATGACTAAAAACAGTATAATATTAGATGTGTCATTAATTTAATTTTATTAACAAATAAAGGTGAATTACTAAATATACTTTATTTTTAAAAAAAAATTTATAAACTTTATCTTAAACATATAATTCAATGTTTAACATTCAACATATAATCCAACATTTATGCTGCTTCACGTTTTCAGTTTTTTTTCAAAGCTCAATTTTACTATTTCATGTTATCAGCTTTTTTTCACCCAAAACTGTGAAAATAAGCTGTTTTTAAGTGTTTACCAAATACCTTTTTAAGCTCAGTTTTTTTTTTTTATAACCAATTTTTATAAAATCACCTCAATATCAAACCAGTACTAATCCTATAAACCAGTGAATTCAACTATATCTTCTGTAGAAACTGTAAACTGTCGGCATCTAAGTAAACAATTTCATTACCCGGAAACTCTTCACTGCAGGTTTATTGACTAGTTTAGGCTGTGTATCCAGCTCCAGTCGTCTTCTTTAGATAATCTTCCCCGGTCTTGGACTGCACCTGCAACAAGAGGATAGCAAACGCTGCCAGAAGCATAACCATCACTTCGTTGAAGTTTTTGGCAGCCGTTCTCATAGAACCAGTTTATGTACTTCTGAGTTTCGGTATACTATGAAACCAGGCAATTATATAACAGAGCCCTAACAATTAGAGTTCAGATTACCTAATTTAATTTCCTATTCAAAATGAACATAAATTTTAGCCCAAGTTAAATGTACAGAAATTCGTAGTATCGTTGTCAGCAGTAACTGCACCTGTACATGGAAACATAGAAAGGTTCCGAGTTTGCTTAACAAAAGAAGAATAGGGTTCTTATTCATTTACCCAAAAAAGGGTTCCAATTAGAAAACACGCATTTAGTAATTAAGCTCTAATCCATTGCATTGTACAGTTTGTACTTGATGAAGCTAATGCTGTCCACTAATAATCCCACTAGCTGCTGTACAACCTGGACAACAGAAGGAATACTCCCAGCCAGACAATCACATGGCTTCTGACGCTTTTATTGTTGTTTAGTTTCTGCCACCTTTATTGTTGTTTATTGCATGCGTGTATATGCAAACTGTATATAAACCATGCTGCCATTGCAGCATCGGTAAGCAAAATATAAGTCATCAAAGACAATATTCTTTAGTACTTGCACCCAAAGAAGCAGGTATTCATGAACAGGTTAAGTTTCTTATGGATTAATAAATATCCAAAAGAGTGTCAATCTAAGAAATGTAAACAACACAATTTGAACGAAAGCAACAAGTACTTGGAACAGTCAACCTTTCATATTATTTATCTTCTTTACTTCGTTTTGTTAGCTAGATTGAAATACATTGTTGACTTATTCCGTCGACACTAGACCATAGACACAAGGCTTATTATCTAGCTTGATACATACGTTGACCTCCCCATACAGTAAACTATACACAGTGTACACAAAATGAGATCCAAGCGTGCCCAATACTGATTTTTGCATGCTTGTTCAAGGAGTCATAAGACATTTCTCAAGTGACTTAAAACCAGTTCTTCTAACCTACCCGAGTGCCTAATTTCCATTGTCCAATGCAGACCAAATCTATAGGTAGTATAATTTTTCAGAAGGGCTGCTAAAATATGGTTTCCATGATCAGTTCTTCTAAAACATCTTCTACCATCTCGAAAACAACCTCCTCAGAATCATTCCGGAGATCTAGCCATGTTCCAGAGCTTGTTATGTCCTTTTCAACAATTTTCTGCAACTTCCGTGGTGATGAATGCGGTAAGAGGTACCAATCAACAGACTTCATCACCTCATGAATCACAGTTTTCTCAATGGAAAGTTGTCTTGAGGCAATTGGCTTGATAAATGACACCCACGGGGAGTATGGAAGCTGAGTATGATATACCTCGACAAGGACTTCATTTATACAGTCAAAGAGTAGCATACAATCATCACTGAATTGGTAAGCCTGCAACTTGACTGCATCAAACAAGAATGGGTCAAGCAGTTGATCTGATGAATGCCACATCAGTGAAAGCTCATCCCAATTTAAGCTGGAAGCTTGAAGCACTGCCCTCACGTACTCCGAGATAACTTGGTGTTCACTCAAAGAAGAAGTTTCAATGTACAGAGGGGACCTTGTAAGAGGTTGAGATTGGAGCTCTTCGGCTGCAGAAATGGATGCATGGTTTAACTCAGTCACATGAAGTGGATAGGGGAAATGAAAAGAAAGAAAAAATGGTAGGTCCTTATGAAGGCTTACCAGGTTCAGATATGGTGCTTGCGGGACTGGTGACGTCTAAATAATAGTGCTCAAGTACAGAAACTGGACTTGGCTGCTCTCGTTTATCTTCAATGTTATCAGAACTCTCCACCCTCTGAATAATTGGAGTTGCTGAGAAAACATCTGGTGAAGATGTTAGTGGCTGATCCTCAAAAGGATCAGTTTCTCCTTGGCATGTAGCATCACTAGTCTCTGTAGTGTTGGTCTTCTCCATGCTATCTGGTTTGGTTAGAACTTCCAAAGAACTAGGTTCTCCTGGGCGCATAGAGGACACTCCTATGGAATTAGTTTCTCCTCGGTGCGCAGTGGAATTATTCTTTACAATTTGGACACAGCCTTCAGAAGATTGATTATTAGCTAAACAAAGCTAAACTAAATAGAACATAAGTAAACAATGAAAGTAACTCCATACCTTTAAGCCTTGAATTATCTCCCAGCCCTCTGGTGTGAATATTTCGCTGTATATCAATAACTTGCAATTGATCATCAAGTTTCTTATTCTCAGGCATGGCCTCTATGTCCTGCCTCAGTGGACTCGAGTAGCAGGTTTTCTTTTCTTTCTGAAGCCTAGACTTGTTCTCATATACCAGTTGGTAATTGCCGTAGGGTGAAAATCGCATTGGTTCATCAACAAATGTATTTTCCCAGTCCCTCGCCGGACTGCGTGTAGGCAAGAAGTCATACTCAGGAAATGATGCCACCTTTTCCCAGGTTTTCTGTGCCTGTCTTTCAAAGTTGTTCTTGTCCTTTTTTCCATTCGTTAACAATTCCGACAGATGTTCCATAGCCTCCACAAAAGTTTCAGATTCTTTTCGCTTTGGTCGGCTAGCAAGCGAAATGTTTGAGTTTTGAAGGCCACATCCACTGGTTGACGCAGCTTCACATCCAATGTTTGATTCACCTTCATTCACCTTGCTTATGTTGACTCTGTTCTCGATATCAAGAGAAGACTTGCTCACTACTCCACTGTCAGCAGCATTATTGGAGCCAGGTGAATTTCTTCTAATGATCTCTACACCTTTTCCTTTAGAATCGTCTTCAGAGACTTGGCAAGGAGATATTTGAAGTGTACCATTGATTGTCTTCGAGTCCTGCTCTTTGCTGCTTACCCCTATAGCACGTCTCAGTTTCCTCTTTATATGGCTGAGGGAAAAATTTGCAGGCCTCTCAGTTTCCCCATTACTTCTCAAGCTGTAATAAGATTGAATGGAGGAGCAAGAATTGATACTGTCTGAAGAATTTTGCAATCTCGGTGGGGTAGGTGTTAAAACTACTATTCTCTCTGAAAATCCACAATCACCACTTGCCTGAGATGGGTAAATATCACAGGAATTTAACTTGTGAATGCCGGAAGGACCTTCAGATTGCCTTGCTTTACTTGTCCTTTGTTCTGAAATGTTCTCTTCACAGACAGATTTACTCTGATGTTTTCTTGCCTGAGATTCTCGGAGGTCTTCGATGTGTTTGACTAGCAGAGAATTGGGGTCTTGTAGGAGTTTTATAAACAATTCTTTATTCGAATTCAAAATCTGCAACGCATCTGAGAACTGTTTAGACTGGTAGTTCACCCCGTTAATGAATTTTTGACTTACAATGGCCTCCACTGCATTCATTTGTCCCGGTGGAATATTATTCTCATTAAGCTGGTCATACTTTACATAATCAATGCTTTTACAGCCACATCCTGTTCGCTTTTTTCTATGCATCTCTTTGCTTAATACTTCCGGCAATGCTGCTGAGTGGGGTTTTTCCACTGAAGTTGAACTAGGAGGTTTTCGATGCTTAGTTTCATTCTTCAGACCGTGAAGTGGTATCTCATTAGATCTCTGATGATTATTGCTAGTACTTTCCATTATTCTTTGGTAACAGGACAAACGAATTTAGAATCAGATTGCATATGTTTCACTTCATCAGTAGCAATCTTCTTATTTATCTGCAGCTCGGTTGACAACTCTTCCCCCTTAAGCTTTCTTGTACTTGTCATATTTGAGTCAACTGTTTGAGTTTTGTTCTTCATTGCATCCTGAACAATTGAAAATGCTTATCAAATATTTTGTTTTAGTGTTTACTCGATCAAGTAACCATGTCAGCTTTCAGTTGTGTGAGAGTATATCAGAGAAACCAAAGCAAAAAACGAAGAAAATTTTGTCTACCACTAATATTTCTCTCAGATGGTTTGAAGAGCCTATTAATATATCAGTTCCATTTGTTTTTCTTGCCTAGTACTCCAGTAATTGATCAAATAGTATTTTGGCAATGTATGTACACGCACAGAACTCAGAAGACTCGAAACAATAGAGAAAATCAGTTGACATATATATTTCCTTCGTCTTCTATAAGTCAAAACAAAAAAGCTAGCAGGCATCATGAATCATAAGAATCGGTTTTTTGAACAAACATTCAGGTACGTGAAAATATGCACCATGTTCGATTGTAAAAGTAGGCCGGTGGAACTTGGAACTTACACCCATGTTTTCGCTCTTCTCATCCATTTTGTTAAGCAAATCAAGCTTGGTCTTAAAATTTCCGTCATCTGCATACAAAGAAGAATTATGAACCTTTTCAGTACAGCAAAAAAGCATTCAATTCACAATTGTGCCTTACCAGTTCTCTTTAAATGGCTCTGGTGCGAAAGCAGCTTCTTATTCGAACGACCTTGACGAAAGTTAAAGAGGCCATATAAATGCCACATACATCCTGTCTCGTACTTTTCGCATATCATAGGGCTCTTCGGCATAGGGCTTTTCGGCATAGGGCTTCTTGGCATAGGGCTTCTCGGGGGTGTCATCCTTGCCACGATGAGTGAATTGGGAGAGCTTGGCAAAAGAAAATAACACCAAATTTACATCACCAAACTAGAGAAGGTGCGAGGATGGACAACGAAGTAGCATACAAGTGTTCGTAATTTCAAACCCAATGACCCCAATAAGAATGCAGTTGTTTTTCTCCCGGGTTGCATATAAACACACACAAAATGACATGAACTTAACCAAGAAGAAATACCATAGAAACGTAAATATATATGTATGTATGTATGTATGTTCAAAGTCGACAATTGCGGATTCTGGTTTTATATAAATATAGATGATTGTGATGTACCATAGTCTTCGTGTGTGTGTATATATGTATGTTCAAAGTCGACAATTGCGGATTCTGGTTTTAGATAAATATAAATGACTATGATGTACCATAGTCTTCGTTTGCGTGTCCCACCATGTGAGCTTTTTTCAACGATGCATAGCCATAGAGATTTGTTTATTCAGAGAAAGGACAAAATTAGAAAAGAAAGATATCAAAAGTAAATTATAAGTAGCTGATATTGAAGATAAAATAAGAGAAAATCGATTAAGATGGTTTGAACATGTGAAACGAAGACCTGCAGCGTTCCGGTTAGAAAATGTAATTACAACTCAGGATCAAAGGAGTAGAGGAAGATCCAGGAAGGCTTAGAAAGAGACTTTGAGAAAAGACTTGGAGTACTTAGATTTATTGGAAGACATGACACAAAATCGAGTGCAGTGGCGTTTTAGGATTTATATAACCGATCATACTTTGTGGGATAAAACTTTGTTGTTGTTGATGTAGATAAATAAAAAAATCAAAACTACCTTTTGAAGATGTAGCATAATAGACAGGTTATGGTCATCAATTCATCTCCCAAGAAATTTCCACCTCAAAAGTTGAAACAAGTAAATAAATTTTCACTTTTCCAGCGGTTCATTGGAGACTAAGGAACACAAACAGGAAAAAGAGGAAATTCAAGCCAAAATATCTTTTACTGGGCCTGTGTTAACTCAATTTTAGCAGCTCAAAAGCTACAAGCTAGCTGCACCTACAAGTGTGATTTGCTCTTAATTAGCTACTAATCAAATTTTGTATAAAGAGACATTTTCTGTTTGTTTCTATAGAAAGTGAAAAATCTTGTCTGACAACCAAACCAAAAACACGAACTATTCTAATAAAAACATGCATACCCAGGATTTAAAATTTCACAAATATCAACTAATTCAAGAGATTCATACAATGAAACATAAGAAACAGAGAGAAAGAGGTACCTGGAAAACTTGAGAAAAAATGGAAGCCTTTTGCTCTGAATATGCAGATTCCTCTGGATTTCTTGCAGTATATATACAGATCTTGGAACTTCAACGTCAAACTGAATGTGTAGAAAGAAACCCAGAAAGCATAATCTCAAATGGGAGATGGAGACTGGAGAGAGTTGAACAAGGAGGAGGAGAAGTTATGGAAAATTAATGAGAAAAATAAGAAAATGGAAAGGGAAAGAAAGAGAGAGATATATATATAGCAGAGGATGTCAGAGATTTTATGGTGAAAGTGACTGGTAAATTGCAATTTGCAGTGACAACGAGGATGAGGATTCGGGAGGAAAGCTTTCAAATGAAGAAAATATTAAGTTGGGTTGCTCTCCAACTTCTCTCTCTGTCTCTCTCTGTCTCTATCTGGCTTTCTGCATTTCCAACTTTTAACGGTCATCAGACAGACTCGTCACCTCCTCCTATTTTTTTTCAAGAGTACTCTCTCTCTGCACGCTAAGCTGAAGATAAAAGATATTGTCTGTTACGTGTGTGAATCTTATAACAAGATTGTTATCAGCTGCTATTATATAATGATTTTTTAACATGAGATTAGTGTTAATAAAACAATGATATTCAATTCCCCTATTGAAAATAGGATTAAGATTCTCTTCCTTCTTTTTTTTCATCATCTTTCAACTTTTCCTCTCATATTCTCTATTTTATCTTTCTCTTTTTATAAAGAAAATTAATATAAGATATTGACTTGATTTAACCGTGATCGTTCAAATAGAAAGGAAGAGAAAAAGAGGAAAAAAAAGAGAGAGAATCATACTCCTTGAAAATGGGCGGCCCTTGGATTTTCATATTGTTTTCTATCAATCACACATGTTATATTTTATGAATCCTTTGCTTTATATACAAAAAAATTCAAGTAATGTCATTCATATTATGCTTTTATATCACATTTTCATACCACCTTAGGTGATATTTGATATGGACATCCACATCATTTGAATTAATCAGATTTTTAAATTTAGTTCATTATTTAATAAACTAATAATTAAGGAAAACTAGTTAATTAAATGATTATTGTGGTACGAGGAGACTTTCTCCTTCCTTTCCTTGGGTTTTACAAATTTTTCAGATAATGTGATTGTTCACGTCAGATGCCACCTAAGGTTATATAGAAATGTAATATAGAAACATGGTATAAATAGCATTACTTACAAAATTCACACTAAACACTAAGTCACGCAATAAATCAGTTATAAGAATAATTGAATATCAAACGTGTTATTTACAAAAGTCAAATACAAAATGTCTCATTCCATTTCCCAACAAGATATTGTTTGCCTTCGGATTGTGTTGACCTGCATGGACATCAAATCTCATATCGCTTAGGTAAGGGAAAATGATGTGTGCTTTAGGAAAACACCACCCCACTAAGGCAATTACCGCCCGGGACATTGACATATATATATATGAGATTTGATGTTAAAGATTCGAATTTGGATCGGAAATTCCAATCCAACTTGTCACTAACAAAGACAACTCTTCCATTCTCCATAGGAAATTAGTTATTAATAATATGAGGAGTGTTCCAATGAAACTAACTTTGTATATTCTCTTGCATGGCTTCTTTATTTTTTTGTGTACGATAACTGCATGTTAATTGTAAATTTCTTTCACATTTCAACAACTATGGTTTTTTAAATTATTTCAGTTTTCAAAATCAAAATCAAACCAAAGTTTTAGGAATAAATTAAATCTGAAAATAATTATCAAACAATTTTAGTTAAAAAAAAAAAAACCGAAAACCGAAAAGAAAAAGAAAAAAAAAAGGATTGTTGATCGGCCCCTGAAGTATAAACATATGAACAAAATGAAAAGCTGCATTTTACATTATGGCGATGGAGACTTGTGGGGTTTGGGGGATCATGAAATTGGGCGCGTTTTCGGATTTAGTGGGAGAGTTGTTGTCGTTGGTGACAAAACACTCGTATTTCGCCAAAAGTTAATAACGTGATCGGGAGGGAAGCAGCCAATCCATCCATGAGGCATCCACAATCTATGGCTGATTGGTTGATCAGAAAAAAAATTTAAATTTGTCTGTCTTTACTCCCAAAGTTTGAAATTCTTGTCTCATCTTTTCAAATTTTGACCTCCATGATTTCATCTCACCGCCATGGATTCTGGCTGGCTGGCTAGTTGGACAGCAGAGGACTGGACTCTCTCTTACATTTGTCTCCTGTACTTTTTCTGTATTAAGATATCAGAAGAGAAATCATATCTCATGCATGCAAATTTTGTCCAGTCCAATTTGATGTCAGAAATAATTTCTCCAAATAGTCTCGTCCTAATTGAATGGCCAATTTTTCTACAATATAACGGAGCGAAAATGTATTCCGAAAAATAAACGACGAGAGTTGAACATTGAGATTGAACTGCTAAAATAAATATACCTTATATAGTGACAAGTTCAGGACGTTTAATACCACGGAGCATTGGAGCCATACCCTTGAATATGGCATTATATGGAGTTCTTAATTCAGAATGGTCCCAAAATTTGTTAATGTATTTATTGAATTAAGTTATAATTTATGAACACAAACAATGAACTGTTCAAATTAAAGACTAGTAGTCTAGTAGAACATGCATGCATGTTGTTTGGCTCACCAAAAATAATGGTTTGAACAATGAACTGTTCAAATTAAAGACAAGTAGAACATGCATGTTGTTTGGCTCAACCAAAACTAATGGTTCGGACATGTGTTACGTAGCTCTAAATTTCATCTACAATAGTCATGGAAAATAATTATTATGAGACTAATCAACACGCTCAATTGTAGATAGCCATCAACTTTTATTGTACCATATTGAAAAATGAAATTGGTCGATGCATACATCAGCACTGCCAGAAAATAAGGCTTGCCCTACATAATCATGCCCGACAAACTATATTTTCTCGGGTAAAAGTACCTTATCCGATGATTTTTTTAGTTAGTAAGGCAAAACTGGTCAATATTGAGGGTTTACTCAAAACTTTTACGAGACAAAAAAGAATTGTACGGCAATGCTATAATCATCAGGCAAACTTTTGACGCCAAGAGAAATAAAATGGTGCATAATACCTTAAGGTTTGCGCGATGAAACTTGTGTTCGTCGGCTAGGTCCTATTTACCCAATGGGCCACTTCGTCGGCCCAAGCTTTGGCGACGTTTGGCAAAGGCCCACCATGACGTGATAAAAGATCTACAGACAATTATTTCTGCATTGGTTTGCCGAGCATGTAAGTATTTTTATTTTTAAAAAATTTAAATTGATTGTCTTTTGAAAAAACTTACACATTCAGTGGTCATTGGACTTTACTAGATGCAACAGTTAAGAGAAGACAAATGACCCTTGTTTGATGAAGAATTATTCCAACTAGCATGTTGTCACGTTAGACCCGAAACGTATGTTGGTTGTCACGTGAACGGAGTTAAATTCTTAACAGCTGAACGAGACGATAAATTGTGCACTTAAAATTGTGGATTTTTGTCCTGGGGGTAAATGAAACACTTATTTTTTGGGCAAACTTTAAGTATGGTTCAATTGTTATACACAAACTGCAAGGAAGTCATGCTATTCAAGTGTCATTGGTTTGATACGAACTCTAACAAAGCAAATAGTCTCATTCAATATATATATATATATATATATATATATATATATATATATATTTGTTATCGGTCAACACAAACACCAGTGGTTGAGGTTGATCCCTACATCCTTGCCAATATGGCAAAACAAGTATTCTACTTAGGTGATTGAAAGCTCAATGATGGTTGGAAAGGAGTACAATTCTTATTACATAGAAATATTTGGAACTTGCTAGACAAAATAGCAGGATGACGATGAAGATACTAATGATGACCAAAATGTTTACAAGGAAGATTCATCTGCAACCACTCAAAACCTTCCCGGAGTACGAAGCAACCACATTGTTGAACCATTTGAGATTTCGGGTGTCCCCACATTGGAATAGATGCAATATTTATTGACCTCGGGCGCCTACCACCGATTCGGTGAATTCATTGTTTGAAAATAGCAACGATGACTCAAGCAATGAAAGCGATATTAAAATGGATAATATGAAAGTAGACGAGCATATTTGACAGTGATTAAGTGTTCAGTGATGCAATGTTAATATGTACCAAATAAAATATTCTATTAATTTTATCTAAGTACAAAGGCCCATTTATCTTATTATTTTGAAAAATAACTTATGCTTCGCCTGACGGAATAGAAAATATTCGTCGAGTACAGAACTCTTGCCCGACAGAATCGAAACATTCGTAGGTTAAAGTATTTAGGGTTTAGGGCTTAGGGTATTCATCAGGCAAATTGCCCATAATCCATCAGGCAAGTGTATTGGCAAATTTCGCATATATGAAATGTATGAAATACGTATGAACAAAGGAATAAGAATTTTCTTACTAAAATTGGAATTCGCAACAAATGGAAAGAAATTGATAAATTCTACTTAGATTATGGAAATTTTCAATTCCGTCGAGGATTTTCGTAGTCAAGGAAATTAATTTCCACAGCCCAACTGTCAATATAGTTGGTATATACTATGAGATTGTATACGCCAAAAATCACCAAAAAACAAATATTCGGAGATTAGATAACGAGACGAAATCCTTCGACAGTTAGAAACAAAAAATGAATATTTAACGGTTATTTTAGCTCTAAATTTAATTATTTTTACAACTACACTTCTCAAACCGTTAAACTTGTTTGAATATAGTACGAGATCGCATACATCAAAATCACCAAAAATAAAACTTTGAGGGAGTAAAGAATGGGACCAAAGGTTGGACGGTTACAAACTTAGCATCATGATTCAACGGCTATATCACCTTAGATTTGGGTGATTTTTTTTTCTTCCAAATATGCTATTTGAGGGTTCAAACCCACATTAACACACTTGATCATCAAATTCGATGATCGTTTAACTGTTGCAAAAAATTATTATATTATAGTTTTTAGGAAATATAATAAATTATGTGTATTATAAATTTTTATGAAATTTAGATTTAAAGCAATGGAAGTAGTGGTGAAATAAATATGTTAGACAATTTATAAAGTTTGGAATTTTTAGGAAAAGTTTACAATTTTTTTCGAGATATGCCTAAATTAGGCCTGGCAATTTCTGACACGACCCGATAACCCGACACGACACGACACGAAATTAACAGGTGTTTGGGTCGACACGATAACGAATCGGGTCTTATCGGGTAACCCGATAAGCACCTGTTAAGATAACGGGTCGGGTCGGGTATACACGTGGGTAAACACGATACACGATAAGCAGAATATTATTTTTATAATTTTATAACCCCTAAAAAAAATATTGTAATAATTATATACATTAATTTTACAATTTTATACCCCTAAAAATTATAATAAATATATATATATATATATTAAATTAACTATAAAATTTATAATAATTATAATAATTATATATACT